CAGTGAATCTGCTCTTGTGCAAAGATAAGCATTAAATGCAGGGATGCTTTTCTGTCATTGTGGAAGTCACAGCCCAGATCCATCTTCTGAGGGAAGAATGTTTCAAATTACAGTCCAGGCAGAAATGATCCTTTTAACCAGAAACTAATCTCCCTGGAGCACCCTAGCTATCCTCGTTCATATCTGGCATAATCACAATTCATTTTTCTCACTTCCTGATGGAAATAGGGGATGATTACTGAGTACAGTCTGAGTCAGGTTTCTATTCTCAAATATTTTGGCCCTTGAGGGGACTAACACCAGTTTAGACTGGGTACTAAGACTTTCCCAGTGCCTAGTGCACTAATTAATACTCAGTAATTTAAAAAATTTTTTCTCGCTAATAATAAATCGAGATTAAAAAACTTTTTCTCATTTAACCTGGCCTCTGTTTTCTGTCTGACATTTCACCAGAATGTTCACTCAAGATAACTTTCTATTTCTCATTCAGTCTGTACTTAACGTATAGGAAATATATAATATTTTCCTTTTTATTTGAAGCATTAAAAATATTTAATTATGTTGCAGAGAAATCAAGGGCATTATCACAAATACCAGTGAGAAACAAATGAACTAAATATAAGTCACTCAGATCCATGTAACTTGATTCTGGGATCACTGCCACCATCAATCTTTCCCTCCTATCATTGTTTCCTTTCCTCCCACCAGTTTTCAGTGCAGATTCTCAACTGAATGAAAAATGCCCATCACAAGAAGCCATCCTTCAGCCTCCAGCTGCAAACTCCCACCACCTGCCTTGGAGAAAAACTTGGTCATAATCTTGTGTGTTCAGTCAGAGGATCCCACCCATTTGAGTGCAATATTAACTAACTAAAAGCAAAATAAAGATAATTTTTCAGGTTTTGCTTCATCTGGCAACAGAGCATTAGAACTGCTGCTGCTGATGGAAATGAAGCAGAAACAAGAGACCACTGAAAAAGAGAGGACAGATAGATTCCTCCATTTGAATCACCTGTGTAGCAAATCCATAGCATGAACCAAAGCAAAATCCTTTTTCTACAGTCTGGTGGCTATTCTACCTCTCCCTGTAAGTCTCCCCCTCCAGCACATTCGTGAGGCATGAGGACATCCACTGAGCTTTTTCAGGAACAGAAGCACAGTAATTCGTTCTGATTCCTGGTTTTGTATTTTTCAGCTGTGAATTTCTACATTAGTTTCTACCTTCTGTATCTATTATAATGACTAAAAAATACAATATTATTGTATAAACATGAAAGATCACAGTAAAGGTATAACTGAGAGAAACTACAATGAATTCTAAAAAAATAATTATACTAACAGAAAAATGTATTTGCACTAGTTCTCAGCTATTTGGAAACAGTAGACAGAAATTATGACTGATAAAATTAAATGAAACATATCTTACTTTAGGCAGATAGATATTTAAATCCAGACTCCTCCTGTTCGCTTTCATTTTTAAGGTGTTCACAAATTACAAACCACAGTTCGTATATCAATTTTAAACAAATATTTTACTACCATACCAAATAAAGAACAGAAAGTTATAAAAATACTGTTGGAGGAGATTCTTCTTCAAAGTCTTACACAATCCTATATCTCTGAATGCCAGAAAACTGGATAAGGTTAAAGTCTTTGAAGCACATCAACATGTGAATACAAAATACGTCACCCAGAGTTCATGCTTTGGTTGCACTGCCACCACATAAAGCATATTCATTCAGACACAGAAGACATGCACTGGGGATCAGTGAGGTACAATCATAGACAGAACCTTACCAAAAACAACACACTGATCTGTACTCACTACTAAAACAGACAAGTGGTAAACACTAATACAGAAATATCAAGGAAAAGTCTCTTTTTTGAAAAATACATATCAGGAGATGCCAAAGATAGGTGCAGTATAAAATGGTATTCCCAGAATTTTTCCATTCTCTGCCTTTACAGAAATTTCTCCTATTACGTCCCTCTGTTTCAGTGAGAAAATCTCTTATTGAAAAGGCTCTGGCTCACATCCTTAATGTTCAATTATTTGAGCTACTGAACACTCATTATTGAAATTAGTGCAAATTAAGCATGTGTTAATGGCATCAATTCATGATAGCATCACTCTTTTTGACAGTACATAAGCACTCTCTATTCTGAATTCTGGTCTAATAACAGTACTAATTAGGAATATGTTTAAGTGTATGCTTATGCAGTGATGGTCAGAATAATATGACTCCCAAAAAATGCGACCCCAGCTAAGAGTAAACAAACTTTTTATCCAGGTAAGTTAGAAAAATTATTGCAGCATCTAACTCCAATTAATCATACTGTCTGTTTCTTGCCATTTTTTAAGTATCACTTAGATTTCTTGAAATCAAGTGTTTACATGCAGATTAGAAAGAAAATACATAGGACTAAAATAATACATTTATTACATGTCATGTTGCAGTTCACTGCATTCTCATTCCTATTTGCACTCACAGTACTATGAGAAAGTAGTATTATTTCATCAGAAACAAATGAAGTACACAGAAAAGTTTGTCAACAGACAGAAGCAAGTGTATCCATAAGCCAAGCAGCCATAACATTCAATAGGTTTAATACTCCATTACATTGTTCCACAGAAATTAGAGATGAAAGACTTCTTATCCATCCCTTGCCAATTCTGAACGTTTTCTGTTCTCCAATTCAGTCACTGGAGGCTGATTGGCAACTGACAACCACATGAATAGAGAAAGCTAACTAGATGAGCCAGAGGAGAGCAGGCTGTGAAATTTGTATTTCCTCTTGTGAAGTGCCAAGTTCTTTTAAGTTTCCATTGTTTAAAGGTGAATTAATGAAACTCAGGAACTCACTAAATCTGGGCCTTGCATTGCACATTAAGCTGTCTGCTTTTCAAGCACATACCCAACATACTGCTGAAGCCACCTTCATCCCTCCTACAGAGGAATGTGTTCAGTATGCTGTCAAAAAGCATCAACCTACATTATGGAATTAAAACTGACATGTTTCTTTTGGACTGAACATTTTATGAAAATTAGACTCTAAAAACCCAATAAATTATAGCAGATCAGTTTTGTTAATGATGCCACACTTCTACGCTCAGTCCAACTCTCAGAAGAGCTTGGTACTAAGAAAGGTCATTCCACAAATAATGTCAGCCATCCTCATCATCTGGGCTTTCAGACTCTCTCAACCACTCCTATATTTTATCAGCTAAATACTGAAATAAATTGGGTCTTCTGTCACACTTCCTTCCAGTACAACTGCATATAATCTCACGTTCTTTATTAAACTTTGGGGCTGAACACTGGAGTAACATTTCCTCTGAAATGTGTATTGTATATCATATCTTACTATGTCTGGAACCAACTAGACTGCAAATACAGTAATCCTATCTGAGAAATTCAGAGGGAGCATATTCAACAGAAATATTGGGGGAGGGGTGCAGCCCTTCATGTAACATTTTCTATTCTTAGCTATTAATCATGTCTTTATCTTTAGTACTGAACATCCTTACCTACAGCCAAATGCTAATCCCATTAATCCTCTTTAAAGATCTGTAAGGTCTTCTGTGTAATGCTGACTTTTACTTAATGCATATCTTAATTTTACAGTGATTTTGCAAGCTCACTTGAGACCAGTTTCTTTTTGAGAAAGGAGGAAAGACTACACTTTTCTATAATGAAGACAATGGATTTAGAAATAGAAATTAGATACCAAGTGTTGCCAGCCAGTAATAGCCAGCAGCAAGAAATGAGTCCAGAAAGACCACTACTGAAGGATTTGTACCAAGGATCTCACCAGAGAAAAGATGGAGAACTGGTCCTATGATTTTGGGGGGATATATCCCATCTTGGAGAAGGTTCTGCAATGAATAAGGATTATTTTAACTCCCCTTCCATAACCCATCTTTTCTGTTAGAAACAAACACATATTAAGAAGGTAATTACCCAACAATCCATACCACACATTCAATACATTAATACTACTTGGCTTTGGATCAGTGAGTGGCTTGTGCAGTAACAACCCAAATCTACAGAACCATGCTGTATGCAAAGTGGACCAGACCACACACTGCACTCTGAGGATTTAACACAGTGACTTTGAGCACTGTGACTATAGCACTGTTACCAGCCTTCCAAATTCTGTTGATAAAAATTCTTCCAAATGTAGTGTTATGACTTTTTCTCCAACACTGAGTATGTGAAGATCATTATGCTCAATGGCCAGAACCTTGGCCAACACCAGTCTATTTTCCATGAAAAAAGCAATCAGTGGCAGCTGGATAAGAATTTCTGAAAGTTGTAGACTTCTTGGACAGCTTCAGTGAACTCACGACAATGAAGTAACAGGAAATGGAGCACAGATAGAAATGTAATCTAAGGTTGAAAGCCAAAAGTCTGTATCCATGATCAGGATAAGACAAGCTCAGAATCATCCTTGGGTGTTTTGATATATCTATTCTTTGCTGCTCTAATATCTGCATTCTGTATAAATCTGAATTGATTAATTATCATCTAATCACACTTTTTAACATACTGGAGAGAACAAATGGCTGATTTAAGAGAGGAATCTTATATTTCAACTTTTAAGATTAGGGATTAATAAAATCATCACTTTATGGATTAAATGGATAAGAGGGATTAATCCCATTTAACTAAGGCTTTCTTTATAAAGGTGTAAGAGATTATACAAAATCCTTCTGCATTGTTATTTAGGATTAAAATTGAGAGCTTATTTAGGATGGTTCAGCTAAATGGCATGGCCTGTGATTCTGCATTTTCTTAGAGCTGGAAAAAATGTATATATGTGTATTCAGGAAAGATAAATCTTAGGTATATTTATTTTAAAATGTTCTCTTCAAAATACCAGTATCAGTTCTACAGTTGATCACAAGAGGGAGACTACATCATCGTATTTCCTCTCATTGTTCCAAATTTTTAAAGCATATAAACAATTTGAATCATTTGGGACCAGCTGTAATCTTTGCTCAGTTAAAAGTATCAATGACTATTCAATTTGTATTTTTTTTCTGAGTTTGTCAAACCTCTGAAATTTACAGATAAAGATAGCCAATCCAGTAAACAAGATTGAACAATGCAAAGGCAGTTGGAAAGAAGATTCGAGAATAGGAGTCAATTTTTGCTATACGGATGTGTATTCTTCCTTCTCGCCAAGATCCTGTGCGGCAGTCTTCAAAACAACAAAAGAAACTAGCACAGTCTTTTCCTTCTAGGCACTCATATCCATAATCATCATCAGGGAGATGATTAATGTTATTAATTGGAATTAGTGTTGATCCAGGTCGAAGAGCGATTGCAGGTGGTTTCTTAAGGAAAAAAAAAAAGGGAAATACAGTTTTGCGTGTTTTTATTCTCACATAAAATAATTCCATAGGCTTTCCCTGGCAATATAATCACCTTCAGTACAATATATAGAAATTCTTATATTAAAGAAAGCAGTTTGGGGAGCTTAAGAAATTAGGAACTGCTGCATGTAATTAGCACATGCAGGCAAAGGATCATGAACGATTTTCACCTGCCACAGTGAAAATTGGGTTGTGCTGGGATTTGGGAATAGTAGATAATTAGTTACACAGACAGGGTTAGCTGATCCCATCTACACAACACAGACAAACATTTTGAAGTCACTCACTTCTTGACAACTGGGTCACAACCAAGTCCGAAAGCTATAATCACCACTAGCAAAGGAATGATGGTCCTCCCATCTTTTGGAGTTTTTACAAAGAGGCTGGCTGTGTTTCTGGAAGCTACATTTTCGCAAAAATATAAAAGCTAATGGGTTTAGCACAGCATCACTGGTGAAGTTTAGCAGACTGAGACAAGAAAGGCCATCTAACTCTCAGATATTAAATCCCAAAACAATACAGCCCCCCTTTAGAATCCAAGACATGACTCCTTAGGAGAATGATACTCAAGTCACTGATTAATTCAGTTCTTAATTCTTACTTTCACTTTCTGTGGGCATAAGAGACTTCTTGTGTTTGAAAAAACTCAGTGTCATATATGTTAATAATTCTCATTGAAGAAATCTGGGTGGCTTATTGCCTAGTACATATAGTGTTTGCTATTCCCTTACTTGTGACTTTTGCCTTTCCTTTTACTTACACTAACACAACCCACCTGTTCCCCTTTTATTTCTTTGTTTCTCCAGAGTTTTGTGTGCATCATCTTTGTTTTCCTGATTGTTTCAAAAGACATTATCTTTTTTCATCTGTCCTTTATCTTCTCTTTCTAAATCTCATGGCTGTTTTAAACTATTCCATAATCCTCTTTCAACTTACCCCACCTCACCTCACATTTGAAATATTATGGAATAGCATCTCTTCTAAAATCTTCAGACCAAAGAGAAGGGTTACATTAACACTACTCTTATATTGTGTTCTCGCTTTTCTACATTCTTCATATTTTGTCATGTAAGGACATAAAACAGCAGAAAAGGAAGCAGTGAGAAAATCTAAGTGGATATTTAAGTTCTCTTAACCAATTATACATGATAGGCAATGAAAACACATTAAAAATATGGGAAGTTGGAAGCTATAATTTAGCTTCTTGTAATGCTTTAAAGTCCCATTGTCCAACTATCTGGGAATTACTTTGGCCAGTACACAGACCTCTCTACATTGTTAAGGTGACATTCTTTTGCTTCAGGGGCATTTTACCCAATATCCCAAGGGATGGTGTTAATGCAGTGCAGTATTCATCATGTTTTCAAATAGCTTTATTTAATAAGTGTCTTTACCAGAGAAAGTTTCACACAGACTGCTGTTTCAAAACTTATTATACATGATGACCTACGGAGCTAATTATCATCCTAAAGGACCTCATTATTCTTTTCAGTTATGATAAAATACTGGCAATACTAAGAAACAGGAGTTACATGCTTCTATCTTAATTTGAGGCATTGCAAAGAGAGCTTATTTTTATAAAACATGAAAAAAAGTTTAATTTTTTTTTTTTTACTTAAGGAAAAATCTATATTCTGCTGAAAATAATCAGGGAAAGATGCCTGATTCACACCTACTCTGGTTTTAAAAAATTTTCTCACTCTTGTTTTTGACCATGTACGATATATGGCATGATATATGGCATGAGCTGTTTCTACTAGTGAGATAAAACAGGAATCCTCAACACAGAAAGAGCATGGGAGAACAAAAAAAATTACAGTTACTGCTTTCCACTGATCTCATCACCAGCACAGACTGGAGGTGGCTACTGAATTACAAGTTTGAAGAGGTGGCTTGAGAGAGGCAGACATAGTCATCCTGTAGGCTTAACTACCTACAGGAAATACATTAAATGTGAGGGAAAAGAGGAAAAAAGACCAACACCTCACAAGAAAATGCCTTTATATAGATTGGCAGAAACTGAAAAAAACCCAAAACAAAACAACAAAACACCCACAACATATAGATATGAAAGTACATGCTGATTTTTTATGGATATGCCTACTGAAATTGTAGATAAAACTCCATGTATTGTGAGATCATTTGTAATACACTCTGATAGAATCAAACTCCACTTATTCTGCAATAACACTAATATAAGTACAAAAGAAAGCCATTGCCTTTAGAGATCATGGCACAGTTGATACACTCATTTCAGGTGAAGTGATGATCAGAACAAGATCCACAACTAATTAAGTTTAATCTTTCCTGCCCAAACTCATTATACTTACTGATGTGGATTTGCATAAGCCAATTCATACTACCTTTCTTGAATTATGCCAGCACATATTTCCTAAGATAAAATTGCTGTAATAATTCGTAAAATCTCACCCTTTTTTCACAAGATCATTTATTGTGGCTTATTGGCGTCCCTTCCTGGAATAGTAACCATTTATTGCATTTTGCAGTAGAAATAGAAGATCTATGCAAGGCAAGTTTCCCAAGGAAAAAATCACTTGTAAATGAGTTTTCAGAAGGAATTAAACTGACTTTTAAAATTAAACTGGGTTTTTTTGAGTTACATATCCATAATTACAAAACAAAAAGAATAGATAAAAGTCTTTGACAAAAATAAAGGAGGGGAAAAGAAAAGGGGAAAAAAAAAAGAAAAAAAGTATTTGTAATGTTATGACTTCTCATTAAATAAATAGATGTCTTCTTTATTTATTTGGAGCAAGAAAAGTCACAGCTTTTTATAAAACATTGCCAGAAAAACTCCTATCAAATTGGAATCCTTGCATCTAAGTACATTAAATTTAATTCTCCCTCTTTTTAGTGTAATCTCTTTATTTTGTATGGTCTTATAACCATAACATGTTTAAAGAATTCTGTGCAAAAAGATATCTTTTTCTTAGAAATAAAAAGCTTTTTACTGGGTTTATTTAAGAACCCAATAAAACACAGTTAAACAGTATTTTTAGTATTATATTGCTAATTTTATCTTAGTGAAAATTCCCGCTATTTATTCAGTAAGTTTCATAGTTTCTATCTTATCATTATTCTACATTTAAAATTTTCATATGCATTGAAAATCTCAAAGCACTTGGAAGATTATTGCACACATGGGTGATGTGTGAACAGATTCTGCAAAGTGTCCTTATTTCATTCAATAGAGCATACTGGCAAACTACTTCAGTGTCTTTTGATTTGTCAGCAGCTGATCTTTAATATCTGCCTGGTCTGAATGAAGCAGTATTTCCTGATATCTTTGTCTTCTCTGTGTTGTGCATGCCAAGAGTTGACCCACTCAGCTCCCTGCTCACTGCACGTTGTTGAGCCCTTGCAGCAGCAGCAACCTGAAATTGAATCTGCTGTGCTGGCACTGGGATGTCCCCACAGCCTCTGTTACCTTTACCCTCATAACTCAGCTGTGGCCCTTGCCAAAACCTGCATTCTGCCCCTTCTGTTGTGCCCACATTTATTTCTGCTACTAACAGGAAGCAGGTTTGAGGTTTCCACTTTCCAGTTTTCCTGGCTGTGCAGGATTCCCTGAGGATCAGAGTGATGTCCGACCAAGGCAGCACAGGGAAATATTAACACTTCACCAGTAGCCTTGTCCTAACCACAGAGCTGATCCCGTTTGAACAGCTCACCGAGTGAATCCTAAGGGCTCTCATTTCCCTGGAATCAAGCCCCAGCAGCCTTGCAGTGCCCCCATAAGAGAAAGGCCCGCAGCAGTGCATCAGTTCTTCCTGACATGAGTTGCGGAATGGATATGGTTCAAAACAGGATTTCTGCACTTCTATATCTGCAATTACTTTTGTAATTTCATATCAATTTCTGTTTTACTTCATACAGAGCTGATATTCAGCCTTCATCCAGAAAAGGCAACTGGTAATATGGTTCAGATATGCTCCTGCATCTTTTGATGAGATGATTTGGAAAGGGGCTTTACAAAATTTTCCTTCCTTCTATTTTCTCCAATGGATTCTTACTTTAAAAACTACCTTTAAATATTTGACCTGACTTCCAACAACAAATTCCTTGGACATTACAGTATTCTTACTACACAAAGAGAAAGCCTCTTTAAATTGAATAACACTTGATCCTGAGATGTGTGGAGGTTTACCATAAAAACATCAACTTGTAAAACCAGAAGGTTCATTTAACCAGAAAGAAACATGGAAGCCAATTTAGAAAAGAAATTAAGATAGAATTTCTGTAGTGGGATTCAGAATACTGGCCAAAAATAAGCATTTTTTTCTTTGCAAAGCTTTGTAAGACTTAGGTGATGCAGATCCAAAGAAATCCTCATACCTTCAGTCCATTCACATTATCTTTACTGTGACAGTTTTAGCTGTGGTTCTCTGCCAGGTGCTATTTTCAGAAGCACTGTGCCCCTACAGAACTATCTCCGTGGGCACACACTTCATGGGCAGTTCTAGAAGTACCAAGGGCATGGAATATTATATCAAACCACTCTCTACCTTAGGCTCATGTCCTCATTCACATATGTGAAATCATCTAAACCCTTTGCTCACTAGTTGTATTTACACAAGATTAGTACAAGCCCCCAACTGCAAAAAAAAAATCAAAAAATAATTAATGTTAATTATCTTTGAACATAAGCTTTTCTACTTAAGAAGCAGTCTCTCAAAATGAATGCTACAATGAAAAAAAAACCTCTGTATTTCTTTTTTGTTTGTTTGTTTGACTAAACTTACTGATGGCTTAGATTTTGCCTTCTTTTCTTTTCCTTTGTCCCCTTTTCTGCTGCTGGTAAAGTAATGTAAGGTGCCATATTCCATCAAGGCAGCAAACACAAAAATAAAGCAAACTGAAACAAAAAGGTCCATTGCTGTCACGTAGGAAACCTTTGGGAGTGACTTCCTAGCAATTGTACTCAGTGTTGTCATGGTCAGCACCGTTGTGATCCCTGTTTAAGAAAGTAAGAAAGAAAGAAAGAAAGAATTAGTAAAAGACAGAAAGATGGAAATGAATAGGTAATGAAATCATATTGTCACCAAAAAATGTCGTCATATGAGCTCTTAATTCATTGATGAATTAGATGAATAAGAACTGAATCACAGGAGTGGTCAGTGGGTTCACCACATTCACATGCATTGATGCATTGGCAAGAACCCATTCCTATGAATGCAGCAGCCTGCATGGGATCATAGAGAAAGCAGCACATTTCAATTTCCCTTTAAATCCCTCCTATTTTCAACACACAGTGAATAAACAACACTAAGTTTGTGAAATTTTATAAATCTGACATAGAATGTACACATAAATACGGTAGAAAAACAGGTACAAATTAGCACACAATTTTTATAAGCACAGGGAAGTCCCTTAGCTCGAAAACTTAAAATGTTTAAAAGGATGCATTCAGAAATAAAAGGTGTCTTATTTATCAATGCTTTCAAGCTTTTGGTAAACACAAGAAAAATGAATAATATTTCTAACTGTCTGTTTCTGAAGAAGATATAGAAGATCAAATTTGATGACATTCACAGGTTTCTGGTCTCATTCCCTAAATTACCAGATATGCTTTCAACACTGTGTCTTAAGTAATAGAAAACGTTTCTCTTGATCCACTTACATACCAGCTAATTAAAATAACAAACTGTCCTTAATAGATATGTGTTCAAAATGTCAACTATACCACTCTTCATTAGTTTAGCATTTATAAGGTGTTAACACTTTCTTCTTATATCTGATGCTTCAGGGAGATGGAAAGCCTTTTACATAGTAGTCCAGTATTAAAGTGTGATCTTTCCTTTGGAGAGCAATACTTGAAGACATGAATAATTTGTTATTTACATGTGCAAGATTATTAAAAACAAAACAAAACAAAAAACAAAAAAAAACCCAAAACAAACAAAAACAATTAAAAAAAAATGAAAACATGGAATCACTGGTCACTATGGATTGTTCCTGCAGCAGGAAGGCATTACTGTTTTTCCAAGAGATTTTCCAATGAAATTACATGCTTAAAAGGGCAAACATACAATCACAGAGTTCTTCAAAAGTGCTTCACTCCTATCAGATACTTTCGAAAATCGATTTCGCATTTCTCTGTATAGCTAAATATTTAAATATCAGTAATCACCTCAAATGTCTTGCTCTGGGAAACCACAATCTTCTAGGATCTTTCAATATATATGAGAGAAAAAGGTCCAGCCTTTTCAGTGTACCAGATCCCAACACACCCTCCAGGTGGGAGGTGGCATCCACAATTTCCCGTACTGACTTCCATTCAGAGGGGACAAAAAGAGACACGAATTTTTCCAGTCTTGTCTGCTATGTGAAAGACCTAGGGGGCTGTCACAGGAGCAAAACTTCAACAGCAAAACAGCCACTTGCCACGATAAACCTTGCTTATATTTGGCTTTCTTGTATTAATTTCTCTTTCCATAAAATTATGTTTATTTGACAGCACTCTCTTTCTCCTTCTCCAGAACATTTGCATGTAAGAAAAGTCATCCTACGATCTGTCAAGTGATGCCTTTTGTGTGTTTACAAGAAAGGAGTTCAGTTACCTGTAGGGAGCTGTAAATAAGATAACAGAAAAGTTTGTATTTCATCTCAAGTAGATGAAGGCTAGTACTGCTGAAGTGAGTTCAGCTTAACCATGACATCAAAGACAGAGTTCTAGGTTCAAGGCATATAAAAAGTACATTGTAAAAAAGAAAAAAATTAGATATAGAAATTGGAGACCAATAGAACGTTTTTTCCCTGTTATAACTATTGTACTGTAACTAGTCAGAATCCACAATGATGTTCAATGATTACTCAAAGAAATCTGATGAGATTTCTGCATCTAAAACTATCAAAAGTAATTTTCATTTATTTATCCAAGACTTTAGACTCTATTCACTAAACTTTGTGGCATTTTCAGATAACATAAAGTTAGGATCCAAGACTTGGATGTTTTTCCCTTACCTTTTCATTAGACTACTGAGCCATGCTCGTTTTTGCTTACTTAACTCATTAATTTGGCAGGCTTGCTGATGGTCCAGTTTCATTGGGAAAGGCAGGGAGTTAAAATGTGGGCTCATGCTTCTGGTAGGAAATGACCTTGTAGGGTAGGAATGGTGTGTTCACAACACTATAACTAATGAGGAAAATTAACTCACATCTCTAACTTCCTAAGATACAACTCTCAGCTCTTGACCTCTCCCCTAAAACAGGTCTGCTGTCATTAGTTCTGCTATGAGCATCTGTCCCTGCTAAGCTCAAAGCTGTGTCCTGTGCACTCCATGTACCCATTTATCAGGCTTTATGTGGGGACTACAACTTTTCTCCAAGGCAGCACATGAATCCTAAACAGTCACACTTAGCAGACTCATGCCATCCTAAACAGGTCAGCCAAGACGACACTAACACAGAATTATTTTTGTATTAGAACTTGCAACATATTTCATTACTGTCTGTAGCAAAAGCAGGAGTTTTTGTGAATTATAGACTTAACTGCTTGAAGTGCAAATTTGGTTGCAAATTTTCTGTCCTATCTTGGGTCTAAAAGAATAATTGAATCCTTATATTAAAACAAGCAAACAACCCCTTCAAACACAAATGAACAAAAACCAACCAAAAAATAAATGCCAACAACACAAAAAAGCACAAAAAAGCACAAAAAAACCTAAACCAGATTTTCAACATCTTTGCTCATGTAGTAATTACTTCATTTGTGTGATGATGCTAAGTATCAGACTAATAATTGCCACATGACAGTCCCTGGAGATGATAAAAAAAACATAAGGAAGAAAAAAATATATTATGTGAACAAGAGCAGACCCACAAGACTTGGATCAGGATTTCCATGCTCAGCATATCTTCCTTAAACTCTGCCATGCAACTACAATAGGATTCTCCTGCTCCCAATGTTGCAGTTTGAGAGAATGACCAATGGTCACAATCTGAAGGGGAATAAACTGTGGTTAATTTACTCCCTGCTGCACATTCATATTCTTTAGGAGTACCAGATCCTTCAAGGCCAAAAAAGACATTCTTACCCAGAGAAGTCCTGGCAGGAACTGCATCCTTATTGATCCAAAATGACACCCATGAAAGAACAACTGTGAGTATACAAGGAATGTATGTCTGAATAGTAAAATATCCCATACGTCTGCTGAGATCAAAGAATATTGTCATAATAATATAGTCACCTAAAAATTAAAAAAAAAATAATAAAAAATATTTATATGAACTTCTAATATAGTTTTTGGTTGTATCTTCATCTATTAGTCTTGATGTAAATAAATATTGTACAAAATAAAACTTAACACTTTGCCTTACCAGACAAGGTATGAGAAATTTCAGTTGTATTTCGTAGCCCTACAAATGCAAACTGATACAATCTCCAGTATTTTGGATCTGCCACTTCAACAGAGGTTTTCTTCCATTTGTATTCAATTTCATTTCTGGGATATCCATCTAGAATAAAACAAAACAAATCAAACATTCAGCCACAGAATGTATCAAAGCATGTTATCTGATCTCTGAAGTTACTTATAAACTATATATAAAGTGGATCTGAGACCTGATACACTTAAAATTTAACCACAATTTTAAACCTAAGTAAATGTAAGATCAATCAAAACTCTGTAAATGCAAATGTTTAGAAAATATCTACATTGTATTCTAAAACTACAGTAATAAAAACTGGCTCAAAATCATCACTATTAAAACATATGTGTCATCACATTATCATTAAATGATCAGAAAGAGCTTAAAAGTACAGACATTTAATAGCACCTAATTAGATGGTTTAGGGATGGCCTCCTGAAAGGAGGCTGTAACAAGATGGGAGTTGGCCTCTTCTCCCACACAGCCAGCAACAGGATGAGAGGACATGGCCCCATGTCTCCATCAGGGGAGGTTCAGGCTGGACATCAGGAAGAATTTCTTCACTGAAAGGTTGTGAAGCATTGGAACAGGCTGCTCAGGAGATGGTGGAGTCCCCATCCCCGGAGGTGCTCAAGAAATGACTGGACATGGCACTTTGTGCTATGGTTTAGTTCAGAAGTTGGTGTTCAGTCCTAGGTTGAACTTGACGATCCTGGAGTTTTTTTCCAACCTTAATGATTCTATGATTACCATAGCACAATTCCCTAGGACTTTTTAATTTTTTTTTTAAATAGCTTCTATAAAAAAAATAGAGCCTGAAGGTCCAAATAAAATAAGTCCCACTCAAAGGAAAAGGACTTATACTGATTCAGCGTTTACAGGAGCAATTTGAAGAAGACATATCTTATTTTTTCCTTTTAAGTATATCATATTGAACTAATTCAAAGCTGTCAAGTCTTGCAGGCACAAGAAAACAAAGTTTTTCCAGGACAATGCATTTCCATTAACTGGAATAGGCTTTGTATTAGACACATAAGCAATAATATTATTTTTAAAGTTGCAAAAAATGCATGTGATTCAACTCATACATTAGTTTATTAAAGAATGCAATAAATCTAGTCAAAACACAGATGGTCAGTTCTTTCTTTTGCTGCAAGGCTTTAAAAAGTAAACATTTGCTCTCTTGATGCCAAAATTTAAGTAAATTTAAAGCCTGAATGTAAAGAGGACAAAAGAAGTGTTTTAGTACATACAGCTTGAAAACTCCAGAGGACAGGAGTGTTCATCCATAGGAAAATTATGAAGCTGAAGATAACATTCAGCATTAATTGTCAACCTAATTAGAAAAGGAAGACAGAAAAAAAACAGAAAGTAGGTTATATTCAAGAATTCAGACACTTCAGACTACATAGTGAAGAACATGCACAGAAATAAATTTTACCAATTAATGGATATTATGAATAGCCTCATGTGTATCAGAAAAACAACATCCAGCATTAGCACCAAAGAAAAAAACAGGCACTATTATGGCATGCAGCTGGAGGATCTGTGTTGTTTCAATTGGTATTAGAAGTCATTTCAAAAAATTTTAATTTATTTGGGGGCACATCTCAGCTCTACGAGAAGTAGGGGATTAAAAGTAGGGTCTGAGGACAGGGGAAGAAGAGCAGCTTATGATAATACATCAAGGAAGTTTTTGCAGAACACCTTTATCAAGTCAAATTGCATATGACATCACTGTATCTGGTGGCTTTACATAAATGGAAAATCACGGGGGACATTAGACTTGCTCTATACTTATGGAAGCAGTCCTGGTAAAGTTCTGGTATTTTGATAGGAAATAGCAGGCAATGTTTCTACTTAATGTCTAAGCAGAAATTCAAATAATTCACAACTTATAAACATTATAGAACTGGTTTAGAACTCCTATTTTTCTGAACAAAAACACTTTCTTTTGAAAATGCTACCACAGATTTCCACAGGACTTCCATGCAATAAGTGCAAAACCCAGTTCTGCTACCTTTCACTAGTAAGCCAAAGTAAGGGCCTAGACTCCAAACTGACTTCTTTGCATTTAAAACACCTCCTCCTTTGTTGGCAAAACTGTGTAGAAAGTCAGAATGTCTTCTAAAATCAACTTTAAAAATTGCCATAGTGCTCACATACTTGACGGTGTGCAATGCTTACATATTAGATGAGAAGGGATGGGAAGACTGTGAGACATGCTGCCAGACAGTTTTATAAGTCTCTGAACAATGTCTTTATTCTACACTAACTGCCACTATGACCTGACCAAAGTTTTATAAAAAAAAGTGTATTTCTTACCATACAGAGGGAGAAAGACCCTTCCCCAAACTTTTAAGCAGAGTATTTGCATCACTATGGAGATGCTTTTCAAATTTGTCAGCTATGATTGATGCATTTATTACCTTAACTTTCCATTTTCAATTTTTTGATGGTTAAACACTCATAAAAAATAAAACAAGCTGAGCCTTGTGCTAAAAGCACCACAACTAGTTCTGGAATCACTGTTGGTGCAATGGACAGACCATGGGCTGCCCTCAGAGGAGATTCAGTAAGGCTGATTAATATTTTCACCACATCTGTTCCATGAATTGCCAACAAGGAAAGAGTGGTGATACAGGGGAGCCCATGAGCTGGAGCACTGTCAGATCATATTATTGTTTCTTCAATGAGCAAGATATTAACCTCTCAATGTTGTTTTACCTTAGGTCAAATTCAGGCCTTATCCTCACCCATACAGATGTTTGCATGTTGCAGTGCTGGGTGAAAACCTGTTCTGCAGTTCTGTTACCAGCTCACTGCACTTTATTTCTCATACTCTGACAGTAATTCAAACCTATTGCTCTGTGAGGGCTCACATGCATTTTTTGCTACTATTTATTTCCTTCTGTTACTTTGAATCTCTTTAGAAGAAATTTTGCATTGAAAATGGATAGACAATGGAGGGGTAAAGTCCAAGTATGACTACAATTTATAATTAGAAAAAGAAAAAAAAATTAACATGTCAACAGAAGGGGCTCTCTAGAGGCTTTAATAAACACCAACTGGCATAATAAACCATTTAAAAAGTGCTCTTCAGAGATGCCTGTATGCTCTCAAATAATGCACACTGAGAAAAAATTGAGTGAAGAGAATCCTTGTAAAGCATTCTAATTATTCTTAAATTTTATACAGGAGAAATTTATAACTTGTTCATACAACATAGACTGCATATGAACACAGCATAAATGATTGAGAGGAAAGCAATTAAAAGTGCCACTTTTTCTTTTAAATAGATAAATAAATACATAAATAGATAAGCTTTAAGAGCAAAATCATGTTTATGGCATCCTATGCACGGACTACTTCTTGATCAGCTCCTGACTTATTTCAAGATTTTTTGGGCATATTTAAAAAATATGACAGAGATGACCCTAAAATACTTTCTTGTAGAGTACAGCCTTTCAGTAACTGTCTGAAAAGAGACTCAAAAATCAGTACAGATAGCCTTAAGCTTAAAAGCAGCACAGGCATCTCCCATTTGCCAAGAAGAATTATCACCAATATGGTTGCTTATGCCTATTTTGGATTAACAGATCTGTTGATTTTAATAGCTTGCAAGCATAAATATGTTAAGAAGTACACGCAGGACTGGCACCTTAGCTTTAATCAAACTTCTCATAACTTATATTATTTGAAAAATTTAATATTTTACTTACAGAATATAATTTGGTGGGAATTAGATTATGAAGTATTTAGACCAAAAGTCATTTGTCTGCAATATATTAGAGACAGACCACTATACTACTATATACAAGATCCTCTTTAATATCTTACCTGTACCTAAATGAAATCAAAATTTGCTATCCCCCCTTCAGTTGTCCTTAGCAATTATCTCTGGATTATATTTCAATACCACGACTTTCATCTTTTTCATGATTGAATGATACTTTTTTATTTTCTTGTTTAATCAAAAAATCTTGTTTAATCAGCAAATTCCTGTGGTCCATAACAAAAGAGATCCCGCTATTTTGATTCATATTCATTATTTTCATATTCCTGGTCATAACAGGGTTTTGGTTTTTTCCTACCCAAATAATAAAAACCCACCTTAGAGTGTATAATACTCTTCCATCACTCCAGATTCGAAGCAAACGATTTGGAGTTGTAATCCAGTGAGCATCAGATTTCCTTGAGTTCCGGAAGAAAGTGTCTGGAATCCAGATTTTTCCAACCATATTGCTATTAAGCATAAGCACCTTCATTGAGCTGTTAAATTTTAGACGACTGTCATACCAAGTCTGGGCAAAAATTATATCTATAGTGTATTCCTAAAAACAGAGAAACCATATCTATGTTTACATTTACCAAAGTCTGCAAGCCAACTGTTTTTTGACTCGTATGGAAATCTGAACTTCCTCTATTCTCTTTTATTCTCTTTTGTATTACCGTTTGCATAGCAGCCAGCAGCCAGTGAACCAGTATGAGAGACAAAAGATGCACACAGCCTTCTGTCCCTACCTCCTCTCCCCTGACACACACTGATTACTTCAGGAAGAAGATAGAGGTTCCCACACAGTGCAATCACCTCTGGGCGCCCTGGACAGAAAGTTAAGGGCAACCTTAGTACTTCAGGGCTAGACTATGTTAAGACACATATTCTACATCTTTTAACAATCAAACAAAGCAAGCTTTCTATGTTTTCCCCCAAACTTTTCAACAGGCAATTTAACTTTTTTCAAGAAATTTCAGATTATGACGAATTCATGACTATGTGGAAATTAAACATGACAGTTTTCAGAGCTATCTGTTACCATCTGCCTTGTATACCTACCGATATACACAGAAAAGTGTATATAATCATAATCAGGAAGGAAATTTCTCTAAAGAGATTCCTCTTCACTTATTAAAGCTTCAAGGAAGCTCCTTCTGTAATAGAAAATCAAATCTCTCTGTAGACTTATGGCCAGAAAAGAAAGGTGAAAAATAGAATACATAAATAAAAGGAAACCCACTTTTATGAAATAATTCTTGACACAGTAAAACTTGAGAGAGATAAGGAATACAGATGCATAAAAGAGTTCTGCTTTTTGAAGAATCCAGCCAGTTGTTTCTGCACTTCAGAAAATGGGGTAGAGCAGCAGCTCTCTGTGGTGTCAGAGCTCTAGACCATACTTCAACCTTAATGGCAGAGCTGCCCCATGAGGGCTTCAATGAGCAACTCAGCAGCTCCCCTGCAGGGAAAGAGCTGGAAACCAGACCCAAACACTTGGTGATGGGTGCTCACCTCTCAGTTATGGGTCGAATGGACAGGAGAAAATGAGGAAGACACAATGTTCACACTCTTGCTTGAGCCAAAGGGGTTAGTACTAGTTTACTTGGTCAATAAAAATGCATAGTGCAGTCAAGCAATTCTGTTTTAAATAAAAGCTGAAAGCTTCATTGATTGGACTAGATTTTTTTGTTCATTTTCCTTTTAAGCAATCACAGCAGCCAACTATACAAAACTGTTCCTCACTAATTTCAGCAACTGATACCACCCATCTCTCAGGAAAACGTGAGAAATTTGGCACTTCATCCTTGAGAAGTACGAAGGCAGATATTCCAGGACTATCTTAATCCCTTTAATTTTCCCAGCTCTCAAGATGGGAGAAGTGCAAGTTCAGGAAACAGATATGCTAGAGGGAGGTTTCCTCTTGCTCTGTGATGTATGGCAGATGAATTACCCCCTGAGCTGGGTAGCTCAGTGTTTTTCAAAGGCTATGGACAACTAATGCATGAGGCAAACAGTGGAGAGACAGAGAGAACAAAGACTATAACAATGCATCTTTAAGGTGACTTTGTTCTAAAACTCTGCATATTTCTTGAGAGCCACTGCTATCAGAGGAATATTCTGCAGGTCAAAACAAGTCCTTGATCTTTTTTTCTGTAAACAGAATTCAAAATACCAGTGAAAACCCTGGAACTGTTTAACCTTAAAATCCAGCTTTCTGTGCTCATTTGTAGTGGTTACAACTGAAAATGAAAGTTGCCTTGCTGTAGTATAAAGAAGAGCCCAAGGCAGTGCACAAGAGAAGTGTTTTAATGGGCTTTAATGGAAAAGAATGAACGAAGATTTATGCATTGCCTTTACAGTACAAATAGGAGAAAAAAAGAAAGAAGTGAGCGAAATCAACAGACATGATGAAATGTACAAAAAATTAAGTCTGTCTGAGTTTGAAGGTGCTACTCTAAGCAGCTACTTCACAGTAGAAATGCCTGGTTTGAGAAAAAAAATTATCAAACGGTCATCATAGTCAAATGCACCCAAGCAAGAAAACATAGCTTGTCATAGAATACCAAGCCCCCTAATAAATTAGAATAAAAAAGGAAGATTATTTTGAAGACAAAAAATAACGGAATAGCCTCAGTGGACTCAGATGTTTGTATTCTTTTACATTTCAGTATTAAATGTGCAATTTTGTTTCCAGTTAAATCTGAACAGCAGCACTGTGCCAGCTACTAAGAAGAAAATTACTTCTATCCCAGATGAAATCAGCATGCCATGTATTAGAGGAGCTGTTTAGAGAACTTTAGGGAGAAAAAAAAAAAAAACACTAAAAAACTCCAAGAACAATTCTTCATGGTACATTTATAACTGTTCAAAAATAACCCAGTACACAATAATTTAACATCAGAAAATTAGTAACTGCTTGTTTCCAAGTGACTTGCTGAATGTCAAATGAGATCCAAGAGCTAGCCTCTTGTAACACACCTGAAGAGACTTATAAGCTCACACTTCTGCACTCAGAAATATCCCCTCCCTCTGGAATCAGCCAACTACAGCCATAATCCTACCATTCATCTCACCTGAAACACATGGACTTGCAGCCTCGTGGTGGGTGGCAGCAGCAGCTCACCCTGCTCTTCAGCAGGGACCCAGAGACAGTGTTCTCATTTGACCCAGAAACACTTAGTCCACTTCTACCATCTGCTTTGGTGACACTACTACCTACTTCTGCAACATATATATTTATCCTATACCTTCCTGTGACCTGTCTGTCTTTGAGGATCCATGATACATCCTGAGGTGGCACATATTCTTCACAAAATTCATCTTACATGGGATCGCATTTTTAGCCCAAAATATTTCCTACTTCCTTTTAAGAAGTGGAAGTCTGGGTCCCTAAAATTTGTTAAAAATTAGGTAGAAAAATCACCATACTGTCTTTTCTGAGAGTATTTTATTTCTAAAACAAGATTAATAAAAAACCTGGTTTTTTTTAGACATGGCATAGGAAAGGACAACAGCAACAAGATTTATACAACAGTCTTTTAGTGCAACAAATCTTTCTAGACAAATATTTTGCTTTTCTTGTTTCCTTACAAAATTGAAAATTAACACTTATCACTTCTACTCGTCTTTCGTGAAACTCACCATTTAATGCCACTGTGCAACCATAAAAATTGGTTTACTACTCTCTCTTTCAAATTAAACTAATGATGAAATAGCCATGCAGAATAAAGGGGGATCCATCTACAGCTGTGTTAGTCACAGCCATAGCAGAATGCATGCTTATTCATATTTAGCCTCACAGGGCTCAAGACAATGGCACATATTGGCTCATAGTTGGCATTTGATTAAATCACTGAGTTTTTTTCACAGCTGGCATGAAGTGACCACCTGCCTAATTATTTACAGATAACTTCAATCCTCCTCCATCTCTTTCCTCTCTGAAGATCATAACAAATTCCAAAGGCAGAGAACAGAGCGACTAATCAGAGATTAACGTTAAAGGGCCAGGCAGGACACAAACTGTGACTATTGACAAACAGATTCATAGCCTGAGTGAAAGTCATTTAATATATAAAAACAATTACTTCAAACAAAGCAGGAACAGCTACTGAAGGGGGATAAATAGATTCCTCAATGTGTTTCATTGTCACGAACAGCTCAATTACAGTCAGACTATAAAACAGGTCAGTGGATTGCTTTATTTTTCTTTTTTTTACTAGAAAACTGTGAAAGAGAGGCAGATATCATCTAATACACCTGTTGCTCATTATAAACTGCATCACACAAATTCCAATATAGCATCAATAATGATAGGAAAATATCTAGCAAATAAGAAAAAAAGAATTCTTGGATATTTTTCCTGACAGTACAACTGATTTGATATTTCACAATAAAAACATTGTGGCGAAGGCAAGTAGCATGTAGTTAAATTGCTAGCTAGATTATGTTAAATGCAACACGTTTGGTTTGAGAATAGGAGAAAGTGGTCTAGTCTAATGAGGCCAAATAGAAAATCAAGGAAGAGTCCCAAAACCAAACTCAGAACTAAAAAAATTGTTGCAAAATATAGACCTACAATGCAGCTAACGACCAGTGAATTTCATAGAAAAATTAATAAAAACGTATTCCTATCATTTCACCATTGCTCAGAAACCCACCCCAACTTTCCTTCTAGATTCAAAATTTTGTGTGAAGGGCACCTAAAGGTTCCTGTAATGGCACATTCTAAAATCTGTTCCATATGGAGCTCCTCAAAACAGTTCAACTAACAAGTTAGCATGACTTCACTTTAGTCAGTTATTTTATCATTCTATTCAGCATTCTAATTCCCTAAACTGGAATTCAAAGTCAGTGAGGTAGGGAGTTCTTCAGAAAAAAATTAAGAGGGGGAAACTAAAGAAAGCATTCTACCAGTCTATAAGTTTCCACAATAAGAGACATGATTTAATACCAAATATCAATTTAGTATTCTGATTAAAAGATTTTAAAAACAAAAAAAAGTCATCAACAAAACCAGTAACTGCTTGCTTTCCTGAGAGGTAAGCACAAAATAAAGCATTGAGCATTAGCCAATTTATCTTCATCTTCCCAAGGTGCTGCTAATAAATACTTGTAACCTTTACCTTTTCTCTCAACCAAATTTCTTTTGACATCAATAAGGGGCTATAAAGTAATTTATTAAAATACTTAACCTATCCTTGATGTATAACCTCTCTTAACAAAATGTTGAAAATGTGGATACCCTCCCTGGCAGGTTACTTTTAAAGCCCTTTAAATAGATTTTTTGAGCTGCTTCGCGGCCAGTGATGGTTTCAGAACTTAGTCCCCATGGCTGAGACCAAAGGAAAAAGTAAAATTCTTTGGTTTACTAAACCATTTTAGTTTGCTGTCTAAATCAATCTGAACTTACTGACCTTAGGGTGAAACCTAATAGATCCAACAAATCACAGTGCTTCTGACGTGTACCTGTAATATTACATTAATGATACTGCAGCCATGGAAGACGTGAGGACTGCAGGAAATGCAGTGAACAGAAGTGCATAATGTCTGCTTCCA